AGGCGCCTCCCGGCGCCCGGGGTGGAGCTCTGGCTCCCGCCCCACCCCCTACAGGACCCGGGTTGGTTCGAAGACCGAGATGTTCATGGGTCAACGCATGATCCCGGCCCCAGAACTTCTGCTTCCTGCCCTGCCCCAGCGCCCTCGGAACCCAGCCACTCAGTTTTCCTCGTTGTGGGCCGTGCATCTTCGCCCCCCAGAGCTCCTCACATCCTCGAGGACTTGTTGGAGGTTGGATCCCCTTCCTTCATGTCATTACCTGGGGACCTCCAGCACCCCCTTTTTCCTCAGCCACAAACTTCCTCCGGAGAGTTTCAGCCTCAGCCCTACCCCTCCCACATATCCCCTGTTGTCTCCCCCAGGTTTCTCCTTCTTTCCCAAGAATTTCTCTGTTTGGGGGCTCTTTTCCTTTCCCTTCCACTGCCAGCAGGCTGTAGGATCCCCTCTGTCTTGGGAAAGGGTTTCTTTAAGTTCAAGCCCCTCTTCTTTTTCCCTGCCTGCCAGCTGTGTGCCTAGCCCCAGGTCTGAGGTCCCATTTTCTTTCTAGAAGCTGTGGCCATCTAAACCATAAAGCCTGGGGCCAGCCTTCTTTGGCTGGAAAGCTGTCCCTGTAAGGGATTGGATGTGTGGGGACTAGTCTAGCAGGTGCTCTTTTTCAGACATCTGAGAGCGTGCACACACACACACACGTGCACAGACATGTACACCCATACACATGCACACACACACATACACGCTTCACCAGCTGCCCCCTCTGCCCTGGCCTGGGCCCTGCTGACCCCAAGCCTAGCACTCCCCTTTCCCTTCCCTAGGGCTACCAAGGTGTGGCTCTGGAGCTGGGCCAGTCCCCTGCTGCCCAGTGTCTAGGAGCCTGGCATTCCTCCCAGCCTGTGGACACAGGTTAGCTGGCTGGCAGGCGAGCTGGAGGACTCGTTCCAGCCATCTCTCTCCTTCCCTGGAAAGCTGGGTTCAGATGTACCTTGGCAGGAGAGACAGCCACACCCCTGCCAATTGTCCAGAGCTCAGCCTTGGACACTGCACAGAGCAGGTGTTGCTGGTGCCCCATATGACAGGTGAGAAACCAGGACTCACCTGCTAGAAGGACTTGCCCAGAGTTACCGGCAGCAAGTAGCAGGGAAGGTGGTGTCTGACTCCTGGTGCAGTGTCCTTGCCCGTGTGTGGCAATTCAGTGGAGGAGGTCACAGTCCCTGGCCCTGTGGGGATAGGGGAAACACACTCTTGCCTTCCCACAGCCTGTTTCAATGCCAAGCCCCACTCATTAAGATACATAGTAAATGGGAGCATGAAAAATGAATGAAAGTGAATGTGGGCCCTTCACCTTGAACCCTGCTTGCCTGATACGTATTTTGTTGTTGTTGTTGTGTTAGATGCTGTCAAGTTGGCTCTGATTCATAGCAACCCTGCGTTCTGTACAACAGATCGAAACACTGCCTCACAATCCTTGCTGTCCCTGAGCCTATCGTTGCAGCCACTGTGTCAGTCCATCCTGTTGAGGGCCTCCCCCTTTTTCGTTGACCCTCTACTTTACCAAGCATGACATCCTTCTCCAGGGAATGGTTCCTTCTGACAGCATGACCAAAGTAGGTCAGACGAAGTCTGGCCATTCTCATTTCCAAGGAGTATTCCAGCTGCACTTCTTCCAGAACAGATCTGTTAGTTCTTTTAGCACTCCATGGTACTCTCAGCATTCTTCGCCAGAACACAAATCAAAAGCATCAATTCTTCTTTAGTCCTTATTCATTGTCCATCTCTCACATGCATATGAAGTGACTGAAAATACCACAGTTTGTGTCAGGCACACCTTAGTCCTCAAGGAGGCATCTTTGCTCTTCAACACTTTGAATAGGTCTTTTTTGATATGTTTTACCCTCATTCAAAGGAGCTCTGGTAGCGTAATGCCTAAGGCACTTGATGCTAACCAGAAGGCTGGCAGTTCAAACCCACCAGCCATTCCTCGGAAGGAAGATGGGGCAATCTACTTCTGTAGTTTTACTGCCTCGGAAACCCAAGGAGGGGTTGCTATGAGTCAGGTCTGACTTGACAGCACATAACAATAACAACACCACCCTCATTCGAAAATGTCTTTATCCACTGGTGAAACGTTACCTGGAAAGCAGTTCTCTGAGGCCACTGTTCTGCATGTCACATGTCCCCAGCATGGTAGGGAGATGGCCGTGGTCTTGGTACAGTGTGGTGAGGGTGACGAGGGAGCCAGAATGGCTTCCCAGAGGTGGTGACATTCACGTGGGGTGCTGGAAGAGTGGGGTTACAGCCGGGAGTGCCGCAGGTGTCCGGGCCAGAGGAAGGCGTGTGTCTGGACCTCTGGAGCAGCTTCAGGGCCCGTGTGGTTGCATTTCGGCTGAAGGCACGCAGAGGTGGAGAAGGAGGCCAGTGAGAAGGCCTTGATGGTTGAGCTTCACTGTGCAAATGAGGGGGAGGAAACAGGATCAAACCTTCACTCCTTTGCTCAAAAAGCGTCTATTGAGTGGTTAAAGCACTCAGCTGCTAACTGAAAGGTCGGCAGTCCAAACCCACCAGCTGCTCCGCAGGAAAAAGATGTGGCAGTTTGCTTCTGTAAAGATTCAAAAACAAACAAACAAAAAACCCCACTGCCTTTAAGTGGATTCCGACTCATACGGACCCCCGTTGGGTTTCCAGGGCTGTACATCTTTACAGAAGTAGATTGCTTCATCTTCCTCCCATAAAGCAGCTGGGGGTTTGAACCACAGACCTTCTGGTTAGCATCCAGATGCCTTACCCACTATACCACCAGAGCTCCTTCCATAAAGATTTTAGCCTTGGAAACCCCATGGGGCAGTTGTATTCTGTCCTCTAGGGGCACTGTGAGTTGGAATCAACTCCGTGCAGTGGGTTTGGTTTGATCTTTGCTTCCATAAAGATTTACAGCGTTGGAAACCCTATGGGGCAATTCTACTCTGACCTGTAAGGTCACTATGAATTGGAATTGACTCAAAGGCACTGGGTTTTGGTTCAGTGGGAGGTGGGATTTTGGATTTGTATGTGCTGATTAGGAGTCCCTGGATGGCACGAACAGTGAAGCCCTTGACTACTAGCCAGAAGGTCAGCTGTTCGAACCTACCTGGAGGTGCCTCAGAAGATAGGCCTGAAGGTTACAGCCTTGAAAATTCTAAGGAGCAGTTCTCCTTTCCACACATGGGGTTGCCGTGGAGCCTATGGGAGAAGGGCATTCCTAGCAGAAGGATCAGCGGGTGCAACAACCATGGGTATGGACTGTGTCCAGCATGTTTGGGAAACAGCAAGAGGTGAGGGGTGCCCAGAGCATTGTGGGTGAAGGAGACAGCAGAAGGGAGTGAAGATGATGGTGACGGGGACAGAGGTGACAGCTGTGGGGGTGGTGAGACGTGGTCATATTCTGGATGGATTTGAAAGGTAGAACCAACAGGATTTGCTGATAGAATGGATAGGGCAAGGGACCTATGAGAGAGCTGTTAACACTGCTCCCCCCACCATTGATCACTACGCACCACTACCTCTGTGGCATCCAAGGAGGCAGCTGGATGCATGTGTGTGGGGCTCAGAGTAGAGGTCCATGGAAATGGGTGAACTGACCAGAGGAGAGGAGCTCTGGTGGACTCATGGGTTGGCTGGAGTCAAGGATTTGCGACTGAGCAAGGGGAAAGATGACATTCCCATTTGTGAAGATGGGGGAAGACTGGAGGAGGCGCAGGTTGGCTGTGGGGGTAAGTTGAGGTTGGGGTTTTGGGTCTGTCAAGTTTGAGCTGCCCAGTAGACATCCCAGTGGGGAGGACAAGTCAGCCGTTGTCCATGTGAGCCTGGAATTCAAGAGAGAGGTCCAGGCTGGAAGCCACCACAGGATAGATAGGTTTCAAAGCAAGTGAAGGGCCCCTCTGTAGCAGCTGGAGGTCAGCTGCAAGGATTCTATGGTCCAGGAGGGAGAACAAAAGCAGGACGGGGCCTGGAAGGTGGGCCAAAGGCACTGAAGACATTCATTCAATATTGTTATTTAAAAAAAAAAAAAAAAAAAGCCACTGCCATTGAGTCAATTCCTACTCACAGTGCCCCTAGAACAGAGTAGAACTGCCCTGTAGGGTTTCCAAGGCTGTAAATCTCTATGGTAGCAGACTGCCTCAACTTCTTCCGTGGAGCGGCTGGTGCTGGTGGGTTCAAATGGCCAACCTTTTGATTAGCAGCCTAATGCCTTAACCGCTGTACCACCAGAGCTCCAATATAGCTATACCTTATTTCAATTATAAAAGGAATACTAGTGTGTTATAAAACGTTGAAGCAGTAGACATGATATGAACTAGAAGCAACAAATGGGTCCTCGTGACTGGCCTGGTGGGGATGAGAGCAGAACTGGGAGGCTCTGAGCGCTGACTTGGAGGTTCTGGAGCAAGAGCAGGGTTGAGGGCAGGGGATGGGTTCAGCCTGGAGCAGGAAGCATTCTCAGCCTATCCCGACATCCAGGAGTGGCTCCAGATTGGTGATGAAGAGGTTAATGTGGAGGTCTGGTGGGAAACTTGGGAGTCATCTGGGTTGGGATGGAGATGGAAATTGTGGGCCACAATCCAGAGAGCATATGTGTGTGTGTGTGTGTGTGTGAGAGAGAGAGAGAGAGAGAGAGAGAGAGAGAGTGAGTAGAAACAAGAACTGAGAATGGGAGATGGATGCTTGCTGATGAGACAGGGTGGACACAGAGCCAGGGGCTAAGGACACTGCCTGCTTCTGTGAACTCTGTGGAATCAGAGACCACTTTACAGAGATGGGGCATTTCAGCTGGGGCTTCAAGGATGGAGTAGGGGGTGGCCA